GCTTTGAAAGCAAATGACTTCCCTTTAAGCTGTTTGCTCCAATCAAGCATTGGCTCAAAGGCCAAGAAGAGATGGCTTTGCCATCTTAGAGAATGAAAAGACCTGAAACCCACTGTGGTGATTAAAGAGCTCTGTTTGCTCCTGGTTTTCTCTCGGCGGCACCAGTTTGTCCCGTGGCGGCGTGTCAGAAAGTAAATTGCTGGAAAGGGTCCTGAGGAGGACTTGGCTTTGGTGTTCGTTTTTTTCCCATAGAGTGGCCCCCAATGGAGTGGAAAGGAAGACTGTCTCCTGTTGCGGTCCTGTGGATGGCATCAGTCCCTCCTCCATCCTCTGTCTCCCACGCGCTCTCAAGTTTTCCAGTCAGTTAGGAGGAGAAGCCCAACACTGAGGTTGCCTCCCAGGCCAGTCCCAGGGGAAGCTGGTGAAGGGCTCAGAGCCCTGTGATTGATGGACCAGACCTCTCAATCGTCTTAGAAGAACAGCCTCCGGGCAGGGTGGTCTACGGAGTGATTGTACCGAATTAGCAATTAAAGATTTCTGTACAGCTGAGGAACCCATCTGAATATAAACCCTCTCTGTTCTCAGCCTCCTGCCTCGTTCTCCTTTTACTTTCTCTCTCATTTTGCATAAGCTGTCCTTTCATTTGAATACCCTCAGCAGTGCCCTGTGAGGAGCAAATTTTACTTTCATGTTTAGAAGAGAGATTTATTCAGATTGAATTCAGGACAGCAGCGTTTATCAAGAAGCTCCAACGAATCTAAATTACACTTTCAGGTCAGGGAATTTAAGCAAATATTATTGAACAGTTGCCAGTGGAATGCACAACACAATTGAATGGAGACGGACAATAAATTAGTGAGGGGTGACAAAGTCTTTTGTTGAACAGGGCTAAATGGATACACAACAACCAGAAGCTTCTGTTTGTACCCTCAGTGGACACAGACCAGTCTGGGTCTACAGTCTTTGTAACCAAGGGTGACACTAATGATGCGCAGCTTGAGCTCACTCTTGCAAGCCACTGCCTGTGCAACTCCATGTTTTCTACACAAATGAGTATAGAAACAAGCATGAGAACGGACACATAATTAAATCCTCTACCGTAACTCTCAGCTTTTTGTACGCTAATGAAAATGACATGGCCAAGTTATCACTGATTTTTAGGCCTGGAGCTTATCATCTTTTCATCTGGTGAATGTTCAGAAGACATGGTTCTGATTAGAGACGTTCCAATACCATTTTTTCCTACCAGATACCATTCCTGATACCCGAACTTGCAAATTGGCTGATACTGAGTACCAATCCGATACTACTGCATTAAAAAAAAAGAGCTGCATATTACTGTGTGAATGTGAAATTATTGCTGTCATTGTTGTATGGCTTGGCTCAGGTCAAATCCTTTGTGAAACATGGACAAATACATACAGAGAATTAATGCCATTGAAATTGCCATCTTGCTGACATTTTGCTAACGGCTAATGTTACACTATTTACCTGAAATCACTTATTCTTCACGGCTCTGAAACAGTGATTGCCACAGCGTGAAAGAGGAATTGATTTCCCAGAAAAAATGCTATTTTTATCCTGCTGTGATACTAAATAGCGTATTAAATTACATGGCATCAGATCAGTGCATAGACTTGCATACTCACTGATACCTGATCCAGCATTTTAGTCAGTATCGGAGGCATTTCCAAAACTGCTATCCATATCGGAACGACTCTTGTTCTGATTTGCTGGTACAGTAGGATTCAGACACAACTCAGTGATTTATCAAACATTGGTGCAAAAGTACAAAATTAAAGAATTAATCAGCAAAAGACAACCAGTATCTAGGATGGCTGTTGTCAACCTCTGCATGAGTTTCAGCAGCTGCAAACTAATCTCATAAAGATGTACTGAACTGAACTCTGATGACAAGCATGTTTAGGTCCAGGGCACAAATGAGGAAATGTTGAGTACAAGCTGCCAAGTCAGATCCTATGTGCAAATAAAGTTTTATGAACACATACTGTAAATGTGTCTGTTATATGTGGAAACATGCCAACTTTACATCACTGTTTAATGTCTGAGTGGTACTTCTTACATAAGTAGGTCTTTAAGCTGCACAAGACTTTTACAACGTCTCAGTCTTTTTTCTCAAACCATTTTAAGACAGGCAGAGTTTTCAAATGAGCTGTCTCTCAGACTCATGTTGAAGTTGTTACTGACTGCCGAGGTCCTCACCTCCCTGCTAATAAGCTTTATTGAGACACCCGGACCTCCCCCACTGGGCTTCCCTTGGCATGTGCGCCCTGCTGTCACTCAGACCAGACTTTCCCTGATCCCGTCGCTGCAGGAGGGCGTGCCCACCGCCCTACCACAACAGCTCATTACTCAGAAACTTTGAAAGGGGGATTAGGAGGGTGCGGAGGAAGATGAGGAGGTGGGCAGACGGGAACAGGGGCGTCGCTTTGACACAGTTCCCCTATTTTCCCCCGTTGCCCCCTTCATGCTGATGACCCACTTCTGCTTTGTCAACCCTCAGGTACATTGACCCTGCCTGGTCCACTGGATCACAGCAGGACCAAAACATAACTCAGCTTCCAGGACCGTGTTCCCAAAGCCTCCATGTGGCACACATTCCAGTCACTCCTGGGAAAATGACACAAACCCATGACTGATTGCTGGGTTGTGTATTGGTTGTGTATTGGTGTACGAATTGAAAGATTTTTTTTTTTTCTGGCCATTGGGTTTGGACCTCGACCCATACGTTACCTAATTCCTTCCAGTTACTGACTTCAAAAATTAATGACTGAATTTCTGAAAGAAGTCATAACAATGGAGATTCACTGTGTTTTTGCTATTGCTTCTAATGTCTGGTGGTGTAGGTGGCTGATGTGATCTTTTCTGGTCCTGCCTCCCCCACAGTCAGGCGTCCAGATAGCTTTTCTACATCAGACTGGAGCTCCTTTTCAGTCACACATATCAACACTCTAGTTTTCTGGAGTTGTGGTCACAAACTCAGAGCAACTTTTCTCTCTTTCCCAGCGCACTTTGCCAGGGGAAGAGATGTGTTTTCTTTGCTGGCAAGGCTGTGACCGTAGTTTCTTGCATGCGTCACCTCTGTTCTCAACCCTTCGTCGCTGTGGCAGCAAGTTCAAAGTGGCGCTGTACTTTGGTAAAATCATATTTTTTCTGGCCATGGTGTAAACCCAAAGACTGTCATCACTGTCATTTGTTCCTGTTTTCGGTGAGTGGGAAATGTTGGATACTATAATTTCTCTCTGCGTTTACTCTCATTTTATGATGATGCAAGTTCAAATGAATGTGAAGTTGTAACCCATCTTAATATATATATATATATATATTTATTTCACAGTGGTGTGTAGGATTTAGTGGCATCTAGCGGTGAGGTTGCAGATTGAAACCAACAGAAAACCCCTCCATTTCCAAGCGTGTTGGAGAACTTATTGTGGCCTTTAGCTAATGTAAAACCATGAAAGACCCTCTCTGAAGCCAGTATTTGGTCTCCTTATATAGACATGAAGGGCTCATTTTAAGCAAAGAAAACACAATTCTTACTTGGGTGTGGTCCTAGCAAGAGGGCTGGGAGTAGGGGCATAGGAATTAGGGAAAGGGCAATTGCCCCTCCACTCCATGCCTCTGTCCCACATTTGTTTCAAGTCACGTCATCTCTGCTGGAGTGATCCCATCACAGGATGATCTCTAGTCCATTTTTGCTTACAGACTCCTTTAAATACATACTGGTCCTTGAAAACATCAAGCCCTGTTTCATATTTTGGGAAAGTAAAATGCCTATACATGTTCATGAATTTGAAAACCCTGCTTTAGCTGAGACATAACAAACTTGGTTGTATATATGCCACTAAATATTTTTGGGAAATGTTGGCAGAAACAGCATTTTTCCGATGTGTTTATGTGCTAGAAGTGCAGAACAGAATCATGGCTGTCATGATTAGGAAGTAATTTAAAGTTATACCATTATTGCTGTAAGCTGTCTGATTTGTGACCGTAATCTGAAGAGACTGTAACAGTGAGAAACAGTTCCGTCATGCTAATAAGCACGTCGTTATTCTTAGAGCTTCCCTCACCCAAACACACATTTTTCCCTCCAGAATCAGAGGTTGGATCATCTCCTTTCAGCATGATGTGAAGAAAAATTCCTCATCTCAGTTTATGTCATGGAAAGATCTGCTACCAATAATCCCCCTGTCTCTGTTTAGAAACTTATAGAACCACATAAACACCAGCTCTTTCCCTCTGTCAAACACACAGACGCACACACTCAAACACAAACAGAGCCATGTGATAGTCACATTGACCTCGCTGTACATTTAATGGAGCATGCTGGGGCTTGACTGCGTGCCGAATGAGTAATGACATAATGTCACTATAGCCACAGTGGGTTATTTACTGCAGCACTCCTGTGAACCTCTAATGTACACACCTGAAGCACACACACGCCATGTGATTTTTATTGCTTTGGCAAAACAAGCAAAAAGAAGTTTTGAGCCAATAACTGTCCTGTGAGCCATACATTCATCATCATTCCTAGCATGCACAGCAGAAGTATTAGTCTCTTGTTTAAGTAGATTCGCACTGTGGTTGATGATAAAGGTCAGGGCTGTCATATAGGCTTCCTCAACATATTTATGATGTAAGCACTTCCTTCATCTGTCCCTAGGGGTTGAGGAGAGTTATAGGTAATATGATTACAAATGACGTCGAGTGTTATCCTTACATTCTGCTGGATGGCAGTGATGTCTTAAAAATGTGGTTGATGGGGATCCATTTCCATACACTCACTTTGGAGTCCCACGAGGCCCAGCTGTGGGTCCCCTCATTTTTCCTCTCGCCAAGACGTTCTCACATCTGTAAGTTATATGGCCCAGCTCCTCTTCTCCCTCTGTGATGAATGCAATGCTTTGTGACAGAGAGGCTAGGCAGTGTAAGATCATTTCTGCTCTTCTAAAGCTGTGCTTTCTCTTTCTGTTTTTCAGCATATGCAGTGATTGCAAATGGACAGGTGGAATGTCCCAAAGGTTTTAAGAGGATGAATCTCACACACTGTCAAGGTAAGATATAAAATATGTTGAAGAATATTAATGTAGTTTTCTGAATGTAAAACAGAAACATAGCTTATATTAAATATAATGACATAGATGTGATAAAAAAATTACTGCCCATATGTTTCCATGCTTACATGGACCCCTGAGGACTTCTAAGCAAGTATTCCTTGCTGTACGTCTAGCCCTTATGGGAACCAGGTCAAAACTACAATTAGCCTTGCTCCAGGGTCAGAGTTCAGCAGCCAATAAGCACCTGGGGCTGCTGTTTTAATTGGCCTTTGGGGTTCTGAGTGGAGAGTGGTACGGCAGGCTGCGATTATGGTAAATGTGGCTCTCTGAGTATTTGGAAGGGAGCTTTAGTTGCAGATCTGTTTGTCGCTCAGCTACCCTATTTATGCCAGCCGAGGAAAACCTGTAAACCTGCCAGCTCAACCAGCCATCTGTATGTAAAAACAAACTCTTCCTGAGCATACACTGGGTTTTCCTCTATTGCAGCCTCCCAGAGGTGTCTAGTTGTCAGCTGGCTGGTAGTTCATGAAGTCGAAGCCACCCACGGTGTCAACTCTGTAGACAATCTTCCACTGGAGAATTCAGACTATTTATATTTGTTGCTGGTGTTAGTATACATCACTGGCGTTAGTAGGCAAGAACAAATAAACCACAGCTGAAAAACACAGGAAAAATGCACTGTTTAATCTGTGAACAATGAAGCTGACGAGCATGCCTTCAATAACAAAATGCCGCTTAACTGACAGTCTGCTTAAGCTGTGTCAATGACTTGATTAATGGTGTCATAATCCAAAGGGCAATGCTTACTGAAGCCTATGGAGTGCAACAACATAACGGTCCAATGAACAGCTTTGACCACATCTATGTAAGGCCTCATCCACTGGTTCAGCAGGTTCAACATGTTTTCTGATCTGCACAGCACTGTACTATTGGCCCATTAATGTTTTCAGGTAATGATTGAGCTGGGAAACATATTTTAATAAAAACAAAGACCTGTGGACAAGGACACACTTATTTTCCAATAGTGTGTCAACTAGCCAACACATGTGGAAATTTATCTTTCTATTATTCATGCTTTTCTTTTGTGATTGTTTCAAGATGTTCCTCTCTTTCAGTTGCTCATTTCTTGAGTTCCAAAAAAGCAAAGCTGACAGTTACCCACAATATTTACTGGAGCGCTTTACAGTCTCTGTCCCGTTCAGCTGCCGCTCCAATCCCAAAAATTATTTCTAATTTCAGGTCTCGCAGTCACTGCCAAGGAGGCAAAAACCTGCTTTTTCTGGGATTTTGTCATTATTATCAGGATGGTGTCCAGCCTGCCAAACTGGGGCTCCTAGTCTGAGCTGTTTGCAGCGTACTTTATTGGAACAGAGCAGAGCTTGTCTCATATTTGGTAATAGGCCTGATTTACTGCTTGCAGTTCCCTGACCCTTCAGTGACGTCTACGATGTGATAAGGTGCCCCATCAGAGCCACACGCAGCTCTCTGACTTCAGTGAAGATCCCTTATCTACAGAAGCTGTTTTTCAGAATCTAGGTCAGCTGAATTGGCCGTTTGTAACTGTGCTTGTTAGATGAAAGGCGCACATAGATGCGTGTGCAGTGAGTCTGTTGTGGGTGGTAAACCAGTGCTGGGAGCAGGTCATATTACTCATACACCACTTCAAAGAAGAGATGATGGAAGTCTTACATAACTCTTTTGACATTTTGGATCAACTTAATAAAAAACTACTAACAATCTTTAAACACTGACATTTGACATTCATCATATTGAATGCTGCCTGGGTCAACGGGCCGAGACCTCGAAATATTAGGTTATGTAGCAGGAATTTGCCTGTGAAAACTTACTTTTTTCCAGTAATGGCTGCTTTGGCTGCATTTTGAGAATGTGCATCCCCTCTTTTCATAGTTTCTTAATGGATGTATTTCTGGCCCCATAACTTATGTCTGGTTTGAGACTTCCAAAGCAGTCACAAGGTACTCCCTGTATCCATAACAGCCAATACATATTGAGAGAGTAAAGCTGCCAGTTTCCCTTACAGTACCCATAAATAAGTCTGCTGGTGTTTATGTGAGTATTGATTTTTTCCAGAAGTTAAGAGTGGCCAAGGTCAAGTAAGGCCACAGCAGACTGGCTGACACTGTATGCAGTTTGGATTCATTGCAGTCATTATTATTAGACCAGGGGTCGACAACCTTTACTATCAAAAGAGACATTTTTGGCCAAGAAAAACTGTCTGGAGCTGCAAAAGTTATTTTAGCCTTATAATGAAGGTAACACAGAGTATGAAGAATAGAATATTGCTGCGGAAACACTGTGCCCACCCTCCAGTCTCCCCCGAAGTTGCCCTGGTGAATAGGCGGCTTCATTTTGAACTGCGAAACCCTTTTAGCATTGTCTACAGTGTTAGCACCTCTAGCCATGCTGACGCTGCTAACAGTGGTAACAGAGCTAACAGTGGTAACAGAGCTAACAGTGGTAACATAGTCAACAATAATAAAGGGGTTTTATGGCTCAGTACTGAGCCGCTTACTCACTGAAGGGCGAGCTGGGGGGAAACTGGTAGGCAGGCGCAATGTTTCCACAGCAGCGCTGTTGGGTCAGGATGGTGTTAATAGTGGTAATGCCCAGATGAGCTGCACTGCTAATGCAACTATCTCACACCAGACCCAAGTGGTGCACAGTGCAGTAAACTATAGAGTAGCAAAATTAACCTCTAGACCAACATGTGTAACTGGTCAGAGATATTCTTCAGGGTTGATTGATAATCGGTTAACCATTGACATCCCTAGTCAGCACACTTAAATTGTCCATTTTTCTCAGAGATGTTTCCTTTTTCTAATTTTTAAATCCATAGCTAGCATAGCTAGATCAAATCACGACTAGACACTGCTATTGAGGTTCGACAAAAGGAAGAGGCGCACATTTTAGTTGACCAAATATTGGAGGGAAAAAAAGTCTTTGGTTTATAGGCTACACATTTTTACAACTGGATAATGTAAGAATCACTTTAGGTCTGCAACAATGATAGATTAAAATTAAAATGCTAAAAAATAACTGTCATTCATTTTCATATATTTTTTTGTCAAAGCCACAAGGAGCCATTGGAGAGGGGCTGAAGAGCAGCATGTGGCTCCAGAGCTGCAGGTTGCCTACCCCTGCATTAGACAATAAAAACAACCACAATAAAAGCTGTCGATGGACACACACAAGGACTATTTGTTAGATTCAAAATAGATTAGTGCTGTTCATGACAGGTTGTCACGGAAGTCAGTTTCAATCCCAATCAACCCACCAGCAGACTGTAACAATAGCACTAATCTGGGACTCAACCGAACCATGGATTAAAGACCCCATGTGATGAAGGCTGAGCCCAACACTGACCTGAACTCTGACCAGATAGCATGCTGCTTAAACTAAACCTGAGCCCTCACAGTACCTGCGCACAGCATATTGTTGTTCCTAGCTCTGTATATCAGCACAAGACATCTGTGGTCTGCTTCATTGTCTTCACAGTATGTGCCTCATTCTTGCTCATCCAAACAGGTCGCTTCTGCTAACAGGCTTGTTTACATTGTCCAAACAGAGATGCTGGAGGCTTCGGCATTATGAGGCCAGCTTTAGCTTCTAAAAGAGATAGAAAATTTTAAAGAGAGAGAGGGAGCACAAAGGGCAACAGAGATAGAAAAGAAGAGAACATTGAGGCATTTGTTGGATTTGCTTCAGTCCGCAGAATCTATCAGCCTCAATCCCTTATAAACTCACTTTTTCCAGCAGGAAGCAAAACAACAAAACAAGAGCAGATTAATTAGAATTGGGAAAATCTGTGGTGGCAGGCTGTCGGGTTGCAGTCGTCAAAGCAATGGGAAAAGACCTAATGATGTACTCTTTGTTTAACACGGTAGAACAACAAACTTTGCCTGGTCCCAGTGTGATCGCATGACTAAGCGCCTGAAATATGTCCCCCTATGCTCCTGGCTGGCACACTAACTGGCTTGCTTGCCTCCATTTGGCTTAGTGACTCAGGAGCTGTTGGAGCAATAAGCAAACTCCACTGGCCACTGTATCACTCCAGCACATGGTTCAGGCCAGACGGAGGGAAAAACCTCTTTAACTTTCACTCATTGACATAAGTGAAGGACGCTGTGACCTTATTGGACACTGTAAAGGAAAGATGCTAAGGAAGATTATACTGTACAACATTCCTCTGTTTCCTCTGTGCTACTGTTTGGATTTCAAAGGAAAGGTCACCACAGCCCAGAGAGTTTATTACATGGAAATAGAATTAAAAGAAAGGACATTGAATTGTTTGCCATGGTCATTGGACTAGTACAAAAGAAAACGGTTGTTGTTAGTTGTTAGTTGGTAGCAACACACAGTGGGGCCCTAATGTGTGTCACACCCACAAGTTTGAGAACTGCCCTATTCTTACACCTATTTTCTTTTCTTTAACAGAAAAATACAACCATACACTAATCCAAGAGTCTCTCTTTCACCTGCCTGATCTTAACTTTATTTCCTTGTTAGCTCATCATAAAACATACTTTATTCAACTCGACAGGAACACAATAAAACTCACCAAATCATCTTAGTTAGTACACTTAGAAAAGTGTTACCTGGACCTCCCTGGTTGAGTATAACCTTTCCTGTCTGGGGAGGTTGTGTGTGGTTGACTCACCGCCAGGCCACTGCTGTTGCATCGCACAACCAGCTTGCTCGGACTGGGTTCCCATCGGCCAGCTCGGTTTTTGAAGTGGTTGTTTAAAGGTAAAGGTGTATATACATCGACAGTAAGTAGTGGTGTGTGACGAACGCTTTCTCGGTCTCTTTTGTCTGTAAAGTGTCTTGCCTCTGGCATCTTCCTCATGACATCCCCGAGCCAACCTGGTTGGTGCCACTAATGGCAGCTAATGAGTCAATGCCACCAATCCCCAACTGACTCTGCCTCCTATCACCTGCCCAAACCACACCCCCATCTACAAGACACTCACTAAAATACCAATGAGGCTTTCATAAAAGTCATCTAGTTAGTCAGTCCACTATTCAAACAATTTCCAATTCTGGTTTTGGTTGAAATAAACCCTTAATTCACCGAGTAAGATGTGAAAATTTGCTTATCTGAACGCTGTTTATCCCTGTGAGCCAATGAGCAGCTGCTCTCACTCGTTCTTCAGAGGCAGCTCCAGTACATCGTGTTTCGACGAACATGCAATTAATGGCAACAAAAGAAACAGGGAGATAACGGATACAGCAATTTAAAAAAGAAAATGGATTGCTTAGACCTTGCCTCAGTGAATTCAGCACTTCAACATGAAGGTTTTCATGGAAGTTAGCCAGCTACAACGGTTGCAGTAGCCACGGTACACATAAAAATGGCCGCCACTCTGATTATCCCGCTACCTTGATTTGAATAAGAATGTGTGTCTGCTTTGCAGTGGTCAAATTTATTATATACTGTATGTTTCCCTCATGTCATCACCCCTCCTTGCTTTCACACAATTGTGAAACCCGAAAGTTTCCCCATTTCATCACCTTCCAGCAGCTGGTGGTTTTGACAGCATGATCTATTGAAATATTTTGTCACCCTTCAAGGTGTAAATGATTTCTAAAGCCTTACATAATCTCTGCTGGTCTGCAAGCCTGAAGCATACTCCAGGTGAAATACAGTACACCCAAGCTGATATTTGCACCAAGTTTGGTTGAGGGGTTCATTCTGAGTTCAAAATTGTCATAGGAACAACATGACTTCATGATATTTCCATAATGAAAATGTACTACTCCATGGCTGACGTACTGCATATTTCACAGACATCAATGAGTGCCTGTTGCCCGGACTCTGTAAGAACGCCGAATGTCTCAACACAAGAGGAAGCTACAGGTGCACGTGTAAACCAGGCTTCATGTTAGACGCTGACAGGAGCCACTGTGTCTGTAAGTAACACCCCTTTTTTCTTTCAATCATAACACATGATTTTTGGCTGTGGCCGCTCTCTCATGTATTGTATTAAAATAAAATGGACGTATGAATTTCTCTCCCCAGCGGACAAGGCTGTGTCTGACCAGAGGGCGTTCTGCTATCGATCAGTGTCAGCAGGCACATGCTCCCTGCCGCTTGCTCAACACATCACCAAGCAGATCTGCTGCTGCAGCCGAGTGGGCAAGGCCTGGGGCCCTGAGTGTGATCGCTGTCCTTTGCCGGGATCAGGTACAGCCACCAAAAGTTACCGTGCTATCCCATGTGTCCCAGAATTCTTCTCTACACTGATTAAATCCAAGACATATCTCCTGGTCCATCTGCTCGCTCAACCTTCCATTCCCGTTTTTACTGTACTTGCTGGAAACCTATTTGCTGGGTTAATCGCTTTTGCAGATATGAAATGTCACATGTAATCTTATGTAAGCGCTAGCAATGGTAGTGGAAGCACATGCAAAGGATATTTACCACTCAGTCACCATTCTGCTCTTTGCCAGGCTTGTAAAGCACTTCAAAATAACCAAATGTGTTTGGAGTGGAAAAGGACCAAAAACAAAACAGTTTTCATATTTTGGAGGCTGCATAATAGTGGGAGTTAGTCTTGTGTTATCACTCCAACCCTCAGAGAGAAACCCCACTAATAGACCGGCAGAGCTTCACAGCAGAAATAAACAGCTTAGCCAAGTGAAACATGGGAAGTAGTTGTCATCTTTTTTTATTTTTTTTCCCATACCGATCTAATCTTCAAAGTCTTTGAGAGAAACAGGCTGGTTTTATGGAGTGTCTGTACTGGCCAGTGATTCATGGGGATTGTCATAGATCAGATATCACAGACACAGACCTCCATGGTGCTGCTCAGCCAGGACTGACACAGTACACAGACACACAGCCTCTGATTATTTCGGACGCTGGCTTTTGTATGGCCTGACAAGCTGTTCGAGCCATGTTCTGAACAAAGCAGCCAGGCCCATTACTTGTGACTTGGTAACAGGAGCCCGTTGACTATCATACCATATTTACTGCAGCTCCTCTGATGTGGCTGCTGATCATATACAGCCCCATTTCCCTCCACTTTAAATTCATCATTCAGTAGCCTATCGTATCCACATTTCCTGCATTTACACAAGCATTTACAGTGACCACATATCTGTCATTACTCATATCTCTATTCCAGACTCTTTTGGCATAGAGTTGCTGGTTTCAGGTCAGGTAGGGGACATGGTGCTTCTCACTTGTAATGGATTCACCATCGCTGAGGTTTGTTGGGCTCCGACACAAAGAGGTGCAGTCTCCCTCCTTTTATCTAGCCAGCCAATCCTCTATTAGCCTCTCACTCACACGCCTCTACACCAAAGAGTTCAAAGGTCAGTCAGTATTACATGATCCTCTACTTCCCCCACTGGCATGGCCGTGTCTGTTTGAGTGTGCAGATATCCCCCAAAATCCCCTTGCTGGTAGCCCTCTGTGACAGCTGTCACTGGCCTGCCAGCTACCTAGCTCTTAGGCAATAGCCGAAACCCGACCCCTTGCTCGCAGCACACAGTAACGCACAGCATGCTCAGCATAACAATATTACACGGATGGCTTATGTTATTGCTATATGAATATCAGACAGAAATATGAGCCACTATTACGCTCTGGCTCACTGTTCGCTGCTGCGTGTTTCCTACCCCTGCAGACCATTTCAAGGAGATCTGCCCAGCTGGTCACGGGTATACCTACTCGCGCTCTGATGTGCAGATCTCTCTCAGACAGCTGGAGGATGATGATCTGCAGAGCACAGGAGTGTCATTGGAGGAGCAGAGTCCCACTTACCCTCAGCCTCCATCCTTTGAGCCCTCACTGTCACTGCCTAGCAGGCCACATTACCCCAGCTACCCACAGACGCCACAAGTGCCCCAATACCCCGAGTACCCTGAGACACCTCAAGCACCCCGGGAAACTCTGACTCCACAGCAGCCACAGCAGCCTCTGACACCTGAACAGCCAGAAGGTGAGACTAATATGTTTGTGTTTACTCTGAATAGTAAAGAATAGTTGCTGCTGAATGCTCTGCACTTATTATGCACTTAGGCCTTGGAGTTATCCAAACATGGACCACACTTCTACCACAACCCACGGCATAAACAATGCAGGGCAGCAGAGTGATACACAATAGGATTTTATTTTCTACAGGATACACAAGGATTAGCTTCTTTTTTGTGAGAATCCAAACATCAACAGGATGTTTTCATCTCCATAAATAAATGCTAAGTTGATCCAACGTTGAACATATTGGGAGCGCTCTTGTCCCCCCCATCCATCAAAGTGAAACTACTCTGAGCATCACAGCAATGCACACAAGTAATCCACATTGGCCATACATCTAAATCCTCAGGATTTACTGTAAATGTATCTTCCTGATTTAATGCTCGTGAGATAGTTTGTTGGCGGAGCTATGACATTTTGATTTATATGAGGAGACAATTCTGTAAATATTTAGGGATTTTTGTCTTCATTATCAGAGATATCTATTTCCTTGTCTATCTTTGCATTTTTCCTTGGCCGGTAGTCCGCTCTACTTTTCTGATACAACTCTCTCTGTCCGGCTTAGAGGATAAATGTGCCGTAAGCTTTGTTTTATTATAAATAAAGACCCTCAAAGCTGCGAGTCAAGTGCCTAAAGAGAACATGGGTTATTGTGTATGTTGCATAGAGTCAGTAATGGTACTTGTTAATGCGAACAGAATGTCAACATTATGCTACTGATAAAATTTTCTTCTTCTCTCTGTCTCGTGGCAGATGTGGAAATTCTGATCCCGGTAAGTTCTCCCTCCCTGTCAACCTCTTGGCACATGCTTTTGAAATGTTTATCTTAAAACGATATGCTCTAGCTATCTCAGCTGGAGGGTTTGTTATGATTATATAACTTATTCAGACCACATTTCGGTAGATGCACACACCTAATTAGCACTGCATATGATGACAAAAGCAGACACACTGTATGAACACAAGTATGATGATGAAATGTAGCCAAAATCTTTGACATGTAATATTTGCTTGTTTTCTAGCCAGCTGTTGCGACTGACTCACCGCTGAAATATCCAGGTATTTGCCTCTTGGCTTCACTCATTCGAATCACACACTGCCTGTTCACTCTCAATAAGTGCCCTAATGCTGTTTAATTCCTCTTGTGGTCTGATTTATCTCAAAGCTCAAGGGCCTATAGTGGTTTGCAGGGATGGATAGTAACAGATTACATGTAATCAGGATTAGGTAATCAGTTACAAAATACATATAACTAAAATCAGCCCAGATTACATTTTTAAAAAAAGTGTAATTAGATCATAGTTTCATTGTCAGTAATTAGTCTATTAAATTGTTATTACTTATTTTAATATGTCAATTATCAACATTTCAACATTTATTTCTATAGCCCTTTACAAAACCCAAAGGTACCCAAAGTGCTTGACAACAGTGTCAGATAACAATGAAAGTACATGAAGTACCAAACACACACACAGAAACAATAAGACAATACAGAAAAGAAAACAATGGAAAGTGTGGCAGTGCTACAGGGCATTAAAAGCCTATCAACATAGATAAAATACATTTAAAAAAAATAAAATAAATAAAAAGAATAGCCCTAGTCGGGATTAAAAGCAATTCTAAAAAGGTAGGTCGTCAGCTTCGATTTAAAAAGGGCGAGATCAGTAGTGGTGCGAATGTCAGGGGGGAGCTTGTTCCACAATCTTGGAGCAGCAACAGTAAAGGAACGGTCACCCCATTATTTATATCTCAACCTTGGGACTTCTAAAAGAAGCTGACCAGATGAACGCAGGGCCCTGCCACTATCATGGATAGTTAAAGTCTCTGACAAGTAGAGAGGAGCAAGGCCATTAATGGCATTAAAAACAAACAATAGTTTAAAATCTCTCCTAAAACGTACTGGAAGCCAGTGGAGAGACGACAGCACAGGGGTATTGTGTTCACGTCTGGGCGTGTTTGTTAAAAATCGGGCCGCAGCATTCTGTACAAGTTGAAGACGTGACAGGGAAGACTGGCTGCAGCCGACATAAAGTGCATTACAGTAGTCCAATCGTGAGCTGATGAATGTGTGAATTGCCTTCTCAAGGTCCTGCCGATTGAGAAAAGGCTTCACTTTGGCCAATAGACAGAGCTGGAAAAAGCTTGTTCTAACAACAGAACTAATCTGTTTATCAGACTTCAAACCAGTGTCAAATGTTACACCAAGATTTTTTACATGTGGTTTAAAAAAGGGGGGCCAGAGTGCTACAGTTTGTTGCAATAACATTAGACAAAAGTGAAGTGCCAAACAAATTTTTTTTTTTAATTTCTTTATTTAATTTTTTGATAACCAATTTGTTATTGACCCATGAAAAGCAAATGCATGACGTTTAAAGACCAAAAATAGAATATTTGTGGAACTAACGTGTTTTGGCTGAGTCCATTTTTATGCCTCTACGCCAGCGACGGCCCTGGCCTGAGGCGTTATGTTCTTGGGTTGTCCCATTCTCATGGACGGATATCTCAGAAACAATTTTAGGGAATTTTCTCAAATTTGGCACAAACGTCCACTTGGACTCAAGGATGAACTGATTAGATTTTGATGGTCAAAGGTCAGTGTGACCTCACAAAACAGGTTTGTGGCCATAACTAAAGAATTTACACACTAGTTATGACAAACGTTCACACAAATGTCAAGATTAAAGGATGACGTGACATTTTATATCCAAAAGGTCAAAGGTCAACTTCACTGTGACATCATAATGTTTTGCACTTGTCTGCCGTTAATCAAGGCCATAACTCAGGAGCAGAGGGTAAGATATTTGGTCAGAGACTGAATTGGTGACACTTATTTTGTGTGCCCATGTTGAAACTGAGGTGATTGCATTAGGGACCTATATTGATATCATGACATGAGACTAGACATCTTCTTAGATTAAGGATATTGTAATATCATAAGTGCTGTTAAATTCTAGTGTAATCCAAAAGTATTCAGATTAGACTGCTTTTTTGTAACCAAATAGATTACATTACTAATAACAAAACATTGCCATGTAATTTGTATTCAGTAACTGACTGCATTTTAAAGTAATCTGACCCAGCCCTGGTAGTCTGAAATGGGCACAGACACATGATGTGTATTCTATAAATTGCTCACTCCTTCACAGCAGTGGCGGTCTCAATCCTGCTCTGCCAGGGAAAACATTGACATTAAAGTCTGAAGGTTGACTACTTTCAATGAGTCTACTTGATTTATTTTGGTCAATGTACTGTTTTTAGCTCGGAGAAAAGAGTAGATCATTTTTATATAGCCGCCCAATGAGTGACAGCTGAGGCAGTAGTGGTTGGGAAAACAAGCAGCATCTCGTTTAGCTTGTAGAGAACGAGGATTTACTATGTGTCACAGTGTTAGTGGTTCATTGTGTTCGCACTACCCCGATTTTCACAGAAACTGCTCCAGACTCCTCCATCATCTACCAGAGGCCAGATTTAGAGGAAACAACTCACACAGAATCAGCCACAGGTAAAACATACATCAGAAAACATGTATTCAACCCTGGGGCTCACTTGGAACATTAGATATCAGATCAGCAGTAATTGACAGGTGTGTATGGAGCTGTAGGGTGACCAGGCACAAGAGCAGCACGGAGCTTAACTCTTCATTTTTTATGCTCTCAGTCAACTGCTGGCAGACAGCAGCACATCTCACAAGACATTTTTTAAGGCTTACCCGGAGTTAAACCGTGGAGAGCCTGTATTATGATTTTATTTGACCCCTTTTCTCAGAGCCAATTTGGCTTGAAGATGCCGTGCTGCACAGAGGGTGAGAGGGCGAGGAACCAAGAAAGAGTGTGCCTCTTGGAAGGGGAAGTTATCCCAAGTGGACAGAGGCCAGATTTATGAAAAATGGAGGACGAGCAGACAGCAGAGTGAAAAAGTGTTTGGGTGATGGAGAGAGTGAGAGGAAGAGTGCTAGGGAGGAGAATTTACAGTAATCCTACAGAGAAAGGCACACTGTAGCAAGGGTTTTCCTAATTACCAGGCACAAGGGCCCATTTCACTGTCTGTTTTACCACAGTCCATTTGGATAGAAAAAGACAAGAACAACACTAATGTCAGGCTCTGCTGTGCATGACCTGCTTCTCGTCGACCCCTTTGTGAGAGCTCCATACCACCTGTTAGAACACTACAGTGCTGTAAAACCTGTCCTCTCATCCAAGACCTCACCTATAAAACAGCAAGATGGTTCCCATGGAAAACAACATGTGCGAGTGGAATGTAGTTTTTTTTTTTACTTTTTACAGTCTCTGTAATGTTACATAACCCAAGGTCAAAAATATTCATGCCTGCTTTCTGACTGTGCACAACTCTGTGGCTTTTCATAGGTATTGACAAGTGTGCCACCACCCCCGGCATCTGCGGCCATGGGAAATGCATCCCTGTGCAGACTGGCTACACCTGCCACTGTGAGCCAGGATTCAAGCTCAGTGCACTGCAGACCAACTGCATTGGTAAGCAACAATGTGAGGGAGAGAAGGGGAGATAGACGGGGGGTAACAGTGGGACGCTCAGAGAGAAGGAGGGACACAATAACACACGCGTGCTGACACTAGAAGCCCCGGTTGTTCTGCCTATCATCATCTCTGTGCGAGCAAGTCCTCAACACCAACACGGCACAGAAGCCTTGAGAAATGAAGCGAGCCAAAATGAAAGGGAGCCGTTTGTTTATGTTGACCTGTTCCGTGATGCCTGACAACAGCGTCCAGGCCCTCCAAAGAGCTGCCACGGTTCTGTGATCCCTTACCTCACGGTGAAGGCCTTGGCCGCAGCCTCTGCTCTACTCGGCTGGGCTCAGGCCCATCACTGAGGAATGCCTGCGCAGCAGAGGAGCTCCAAAGTCAGGGCTTTGGAAAGTGTACAGTCTCTGCCGGTGAAATGGAACGGCAGTGTAATGTCACATTCGATCTCTTGTACTCACCTTCTGCCTTTATTTTCTTTCTCTGTCTCCCGTTGCAGATGTGAACGAGTGTGACGAGAACCCATGTGAAGGGAAGGGCCGCTGCATAAACAGCTATGGCTCCTACACCTGTCAGTGCCACAGCGGCTACAGCCAGGTGATCACCCAGAACAGGAAGTTCTGTCAAGGTGAGACGCAGCCCAAAGCACAGCAGGGGACATGTTTCCAATGGATGAAAGCCATTAGCTGTTAACTCTCTAACTCTCTGTAAGAGCACTGCAAGTTCTTGTCTGTCAGCGCTGTTCATTTAAGAGCATCCTGGCCTAATTAGTGCTGTGGAACACAATAGTCACTTTCTTTTCCGTTCTCCTTGGTTTTCATTCAAACTGGCAGATATTAATGAGTGCAGCATGCCCAACAAGTGCCAGAACGGCATATGCGTCAACACAGAAGGATCTTACACCTGTGAATGCAACAGCGGCTACGCCAAGTCCTGGAGAGGCCAGTGCGAAGGTGACATGCATGCATACACAAGCGCCTACGCACACGTACAGTTCACATAACAGCACAGTCATAGCCAGGCATATTTGTTTGCTGCCATGAGTTAATGTGTAGCCCGGTTACAAAACACATGTATTTTCCGCATATCAGAGCCAGGAGGAAAACTATGCACAGTTCGTGATGGAGGGATTGTGTGTTTGTATATATTAGCATTTGTGACCTTACACCCCTTTTTTCTTCCATGCATGTGCACATTGTTTTAATAACGACTAATTCAAATGATTATTTTTCGTGTCCCACCTTCTCCCGGAGCAGATGTAGATGAGTGCAGGGATCCCAGCTCCTGTCCCAACGGTGTCTGCGTCAACACTCCTGGCTCCTTCCAGTGCCAGGCCTGCGGCCCAGGGTTCAGGCCCGTTGATGAAAGATGTGTGGGTAAGGCAAACCCACGCCCCATCACAGCAGCACCACCACCACCGCTACCCAAACTCCTCAGGGTGTTTCCAACCGCTGCATGGAAAGAAGCTGGGTTTCCCTCTTACACTGTAAAAGCTTCCTGTATTAGGTAACATTTACGTAGACAAAAGCTGCTGCTCCCAGTTGGCATCACCGAAAATAACCAAGGCGTCATGGCAACAAGCCGTGCCGTTAACGACTTGCTGACAGCTTATGATGCAGCACAGTTCACCAGCTTGCACAAGCTGAATTACTTTCACTCAATTGTGGCTTTTCGCTCAAAGAGACACTCTGACTGCTGATGTGCACGAAATTTGTTTTAAATAAATTTCATTTTATGCTTCAAAGGGCTTTATACTGGGTTTTTTATGTCAAGTGTGGACCACTACTGGGCCCACACGACAACCCAAAACCACAGTGAGGATGGCTATAGTGTGTGGGCCGAACACACCCCTCCACCCTCGCTCTCTCTATTCAGTGTTTCCACGTATGATATATCAGCTTCTCCACCCAGCAGCCTCCGCATATCCCCAATATTGTTTGAACACATACACGGTGTTATTGCTGATCTTTTGATATCACTGGCCCCCGTAAAAAGATTGTTTATAATACTTCAATTTGGGAGAGTCCAAATATTTTCTCTTGGCCACAGCCTTGAACAAACAGTGTATTATTGTTGGAGATCTCTGGCCACCGTACTGTTGGGCCCAGCGGAGGCTTTATTACCACTGCTGGGCTGGGTGATATGACCGGGAAGTCACAGGAGATGCATGAGAAGGTCAAAGGGTCAATTCCCCACTGCGAAGAGGTCCCGACACGCAAACAAATCCTCTCACTCACCCATAAGGATGTCTGTAGCGCGCTGTAAAACTCATACTGCGGATTATTAGATTTCAATGCACAAACGGCCAACAAACTACACTTGGTGTGTGTTGTGTTTAAGCTAACACGCTGGCAGCTCCCCACCTGAACGCGGCCCTGTTACATAAGAGCCTGACTGGTGTTACTTACCATATCCCCTCTCTGTGACCTTGCACCCCCTCTAATTTGTTTGGAAACCTGAGCTCCTGGAGTGAGTATTCCAGAAATGTGAAAAGCTAAAAGACAGAATAAGGATGGAAAATATGGAAATTAGCTTTAGTGGTAATTAGGAGTTCATTTTAATCGATTTTCTCAGTGAGGCTGACGACTGAAGCCCTTGTTTAAAATTACATGATTTCCCTGCCTCCAAAAGAAACACCACTCCAGCTACCTTCTGTTTGTGAGTCCGCTAATGTTATTCATTCTGTGTAAATCTGTGGTGTATAAATAGCCACTGAGAGGAACCCTGTAAATGAGGGATAACACTGGAGGTAAATATTTTTACTCCGAACATCCACCCAGGCAGCGCTAACAGGCTCACAGTATACGTCTGGCGCTGTGAGAGTCACATAAAACAGGCAACACGAGTGCCGGGTTTCCAGTATTTGCCTCAGTCAATTGATGGTAGCACAGTGGTTTGGGCCCAATTGGCCGAATCGTGGATAAGCCTAATTGCTGGTGTGATAGGGAAAACAGCTCCATTCCCCTGTCAGGGCTTATCGCGGAGGCCTGAGAGATGCCGGATGATTGCAGAAACAAAGCACTGGGCCACACTGACAGACGTCTGGCAGTGCCCACAGCTAGGCAAACAAAACCCAGTCTGTGACTCTCTCGCAGTGTTTTCACTGTGTGAGCTCTGTTTCAGCATCTCTATCACGTCCTCTCTCCACCTCCTTTGCAGACAAATACTTTTCCTTCCTCTCCCCCCTTTCTCTTCCTCTTTTACTGTCTCTGTCTCTTACATTCACATAATCAGTCTCTCCCCTCACCTTACCTAAGCTGAAAATTACCATTGTTAACACTTGATAAATTCCACTATAAAACATTATTTCTGCGTGAGGTTTTCCGAAAATATAATTTCTAGGTCAACTGCTCTGACCCACTGAGTGGAAAAGACAACTACTGCTGCAAATAGTAAAAGCCCTATAGAATGAGGTTTGGGCACTGATTTAATTTAATGACTGCTGTTTTACAGTCATTTTGGGCACTAATTATGCTGTAATTGTTTCCCCCTTACTGAAACAACCCTCAATTTGTATACACATCTTTGTTTTTATTTTCCGTATCCTGCTGTATTCTCCTGCTGCAATGGCCCAGTTTTCCTTTGCATTTTAGATTTCATCTGATATTAAAGGGTCAGTCTACCTAAATCACAAAAGTAACATATTTACCTATCTTTAGTAGTATCTTGGATGCAGATAGTTTTGGTTTTATGTGGCAAGGTTTTGAGATCTTTCTTAAGGCTTTTCTGCCTTTCTGCTCAGAGTTATTTTGTTCACATCTTTCACAAAATTAATTACACTTAAAATGTTCAGCAGCAGTGTTTTTTGGACGACATATCCTCATAAGATTGGTCAAATTATATCTAATAAATTTGTGCCCCACGAATGATGTTATGTACTCAACATAAAGTTACATACATAATGTAAAGTTACTTGGGTTTGGTTTAGGTAAAAGAAACATGGTGACTTGGTCTCACACAGTTCCAAAAAACTGTCTCACCACAGCTGAAATTCCATTTCCTTTCATTGTACTGGGGTGATGGCAGAAATCCTAGAGGTGGATATCTCAAAAACCTTTGATCATTCCAATATGTTATTTTCATGGCCTTGGAAAAGTTCAGTCAATATTTGTGAACACGAGCTACTCTCTCTCAAAGCCAGAAACATCTCAAACTTGTGATTTTATGGACCAGCAAAATGTTTGTTTTCTTTTTTATACCCAGATGAGCTTTATTTTACTCTAGTGTTCTCAGTTCTGAAACAGAAAATGTACCCATATAGACTGTATTTAGTATTTCTGCCACTTAACCTTGCCATCAGAGAGCCTTTTCTGACAGGGAATTGAACCCGTTATATCAAAGCGCCACTAGATGCCACTGCCATAAACAGTGATTTTACTTAGTAGAACACTGAGTTGCAGGTCTACCATGGATTTGACTGGTTAGTGTGCAAGGTGAAGTGAAGCATTGGTCTCCAGTAGATGCAGAGTGAGACTTTTAATTTGTATGAACTGACACTTTAATCACACACTGTACTTGCTCTCATATATATTATGTCCTGTCCTTCTGTCCCCAGATGTAAACGAGTGCTTGAACCAAACCGTGTGTGGTCGTGGTAGGTGTGTCAACACTGAGGGCTCCTATAGGTGCAACTGTTTCCAGGGATATGAACTCTCACCAGACAACGTTTGCCAAGGTAACTGTCAGTCAGAAGGTCAGTCAGACATTATTAACGTCCCATATCAAAGTAACAGCTCTGTGAATAGTTCTCCACAGTGCTACTACAGAAGCTTCGCGGCACCATTGAAGCTTTATAAAAAAGGCTACAAAGAGTTAGTCTTTATTTTCTGGGGCCCCCCCTTTTTTTTACCCCTCTGTATCTTCTCTCCAGATGTGGATGAATGTATGCTCCCCGGAGTCTGCCTCAACGGCCGCTGTGTCAATCTGGACGGCACCCACACATGTACCTGTAACCATGGTTACCATGTCACCTCAGACAGCGAAGCCTGTGAAGGTCTGCAAAGGATTATCTGGAGCTGTTGGGTGTAACTCGTCACTGCATACTTCTCAGCTTGTGGAGCTCTCTCGACAGCAGTATAATGTCTGCAAATTGTTTCTTTTTGTTAGATGTCAACGAGTGCGCAACTGGTAATGTATGCCCTGCGGGAATTTGCATCAACACAGCAGGTTCCTACACTTGCCAGAACTGCAGGCCTGGGTTTGAACCCTCTGCTGATGGACTGAGATGTGAAGGTATGAAATCAACTGTTTAACGATTTACTGTGAACTGCTGTTGGTAGATGGTGATGATTTCTCTGCCCAGTTGAAGTGAATCTGATTTTTGTGTTTCCAGATGTGAATGAGTGCGCCCAGGGTGACTTGTGTCTCGGTGGCGTGTGCGCCAACACGGAGGGATCCTACACCTGCACCAGATGTAAGGCCGGCTACAGAGTGTCTCAAGACCGTCAGAGGTGTGAAGGTAAACTCTATCTCCGGCTGTGCTCCTCAGTCAGTCAAAACCATTAGTGCTGTTACAACTGTTGAAGACTTACTCAACACATCTGGGTTGCTTGTCACCTCACCATTAAAACTCCTGTGCAACTGAATTCCCTCAGCATATTATTTGGTCTTTATAGTCATCGGTTTCCTGACATGTCTGTGCTGGTGTGCATGTGTTTCTCCCAGATATTGACGAGTGCCAGTCCCTGTCTACCTGTGCCAACGGGATCTGTCTAAACTCGGAAGGCTCTTACACCTGTGAGAATTGTCCTACAGGGTACAAAGTATCATATGACGGGGAGCTCTGTGAAGGTTGGTTTATTTAACACTACTTTTTTAATAACTCCTGCATAATGCCATTTGTATGTTAGTCAGCCTGAAAGAACTGACACTGGTGGGGTTAGTGGTTCTTACCTTTCACCAGGATTTTCTTTTCCTTGGCTGTAGAGACACCCCCTGTCCCGCAGCGAATGTCTAACAGCCTGTGTTGTTTTCAGATATCGATGAGTGTGCACTGCCCACGACATGCCCCCAGGGAACATGTACAAACACAGATGGCTCCTTCACGTGTATTGTCTGTCAGCCTGGTTTCAGAGTCTCTGAGGATGGACAACAGTGTGATGGTGAGGCTGTTGGCTGTGTTTGTGCAGGAATGTTTTGTTTGTGCACTTGAGCACAGGTGTGTAGCGTCTATTCAAACATGCCAGACCTTGCCTTAATACCCGACAAAAGCTGCGGTTAAGGGTGAATGTGCCAGCTGCGTTGAACACGTTCCCCGGCTGGTTCAGGCTGTGTATTAAAAGCATCAGGTGCGACAGCTTGGAACCCAAAGCCCCATCATCTGAGCCCAAAATCCCAAAATACTCCTTCTAGACATCACATCATAGCTGGATCCTGGACCCCTCCGCCTCTGGCACCGCTCATCTGATCCTTGCTCAACACAATGAGACACCAGCCCTCAAATAGAACATGATGATGTCAGGCTAATGTTCCGCAGATAGCTCAGCTAAAAAGATAGACGTGTCGACATTTGTAATTTCTAGCTCCAGTGATTGCCGATCTAACTGATTACAACTGGCGAGCTTTATTTATTTGAAGCCAGAGATGGTAATCTGCATTATGATGTGTCTGTGTATTTGTGTCCAGATGTGGATGAGTGCTTGGTGGCTAACGTGTGCCCGCGCCAGCTGTGCTTGAACACCCCAGGATCGTACACCTGCAGGAGCTGTGAAGCCGGCCTGCAACTGTCTGAGGATGGTTACGGCTGTGAAGGTAAAACTACCTCTGTTTTTATGTACCTGCGCAGAACACTTTAAGCTGTCACTATCAAAAACATTGCACCAAAGTTACAGTAGACCACAGTAGAAAAAAAGGAATGCATTAGACCCAGAACATGATTACAGAAAATCTTTACCGTGCAGAGTAATTTGTCATGACATGATTTATGAGATCAATGCAGTGAAACGGCTGCTTTGACGAATCCGGGGAGGCTGATCTGTCATGACTTCATGGGAAGCAGAAAAGGAATGGCTGTTTAAATGGATTCAAACATGGCCTCAGTTAGTCATATATACTGTGGTGTGTTTTTGAATGGAAGCGTGGATGTAGCCCAAGAGGAAGATCCCCTACCGATATGGGTCTTTGTGCTGGGAAAAGGTTTTACAAAACAAGCCCGAGTCCAAGTCGGCCTCTGATAGGATTTTAATGGATGCCTCTGATGCCATGGAAAATATTAAGGGCTTAATTTGAAATGAAGTCAACCACTCCCCTGCCTTCCACGTACTACAGCGAGCTCGCCCCGTTGAACTGTTCACCCAAAGGCAAAACTGAGCCGTCCCAATCACTTAACAATGGCCCACACAATTTTTCTCCGTAAGAAATACAATCTGCACCGGGTCGAGGAATTTCCAGTGATCACATAACAGCGAGCCAGGGACTGTTTGTAGATACAGTAATTATGCGCCACCTGTAATAGCTTGCTGTTTTGGATTCGATGACCCTCCTGCATACTTATCTTTCCACCCTTTTTAATAAAACACTGTCAGTGCGATCTAATAAAGGCGGCTTTGCTTACTGTATGTAGGCCGAAACACACACACACAATTTTTTACAGACAGTGAACGATCAAAAAAGTAGATTCTTTAGAGGTCCCTTTGCTTAAGATGATAAACTAAAGCTAACCTTTTCTTCTTCTTCTGCATCTTAGACATTGACGAGTGCCAGACCCCAGGTGTGTGCCCCACGGGTGTTTGCACCAACACAGAGGGCTCCTTCTCCTGCATGGCCTGTGACCGTGGCTTCACAGTGGCACCCAACGGGCTCTCATGCCAAGGTACGGCGTAGTGGGTGGCTGACTGTGGTCACTAGATTTTTGTGCAGTCATTTTAATATGTCATCTGTTCCAGTGCAATATGACCTACTGTAGTTAGAATAAGTCATTACACGCTGATGTAGATGATGCATGACTTTTCTGACATGCTCACTGTGGATTTACAGCTGGTGTGAATGTGTCATACTGATGACGTCTCCCTCTCTCACTCTGTGTTTGTTTGTCCATGCAGATGTGAATGAGTGTGAGGACACCAGCCTGTGTGTGGCAGGCCAGTGCACCAACACCATCGGTTCCTATAGCTGCACCTGCCCAGCTGGTATGGAGCTGGTGGACAGGACGTCCTGCAGAGGTATTCACACACACACATACACACACACATACACGCTAGTGTTGTAAGAAATATTGATTTATCGATATATATTGATTCTGTATATTTGAAACGGTTTCAGTACTCAGTATAGATACACCAGTACCAGCTGTGCTTTTTTCGCTCTCTCCTATGAACATAGCCACATACAACAGTTTGTATGATATTCTACGAATTATCACCTCATAAATGACATTACGTAACTCAATGTAAAGTTACCAAGGTCAGGTTTAGGCACGTAAAGTTACTGTGGTTAGGTTTAGGGAAAAAAAACACATAGTGAGTTTACTCAAAGATCGCACGGTTCCAAAACCGGTCTCGTGGGGAAAGTCCTGTGTTTTGTTACCCATCCACCACTTCAACCTGCCTCCTTCTTTACTCCCATCAGCACATTGGTCACATGATCGCAGCCTCCCTAAATACGTGGGTTATACATGAATTACAAGCTCATGATTATGTAGGATATGTAGAAATTTTGGTGTTTTCTGGGTCACCTGACACATAAAATATACCATTAATGCTTAACTGCTCCTCGTGGCTTACTTCATGTTGGCATCTTGACACAGCTGTGTGTGTATGCTTATGACAGATATCGATGAGTGTTTAACTGTGGTGGGGATCTGTGGAGAAGGACAGTGTGTGAACAATGAGGGCTCCTACACGTGCAACTGTCCTGATGGATATACCACCACCGATGGAAAGACCGGCTGCCAAGGTACAGTAACACACTGGCACAAGAGCAGTAACAGCAATGGGAAATTGCTTTTCAGATGATTTTATGAGCTTTGTGTAATTGGGTGAGGCAGAGTCCTAATTAGAAAAAGTTGGTAATAATATAATATGATTTTAGATTAAGTCATTTTACAGTAACCTCGCTGGCTTGCACACGTTTCTTTATTCAGTGCATGCAGGCTCACAGACAGTATCCTCAACACACTGTCCTGGGTGCTGAGGCCCAGCCTGGGACCCTTGGCATGGGTGATCAGACTAGCCTTTCTGTGTAATGGGCCGTGGCCTCATCAACTGTCTCAGCTCACTCTCCGTTCGGACATCAGTTTGATGTTATTCCAGCCGCACCCAGTGACCCACTGGTCACAGCGATGGGAAAAAAAAATGCAGCCTGATCATCAGCTAAGGAAGGCTTTTCTTTTCAACAAACTGGAGCATTTGCTGTCAAAATACATGAAATAACTCTGGCTAGGCTGTCAGAATGGGATCAGTGTTATTTCTGGTGTGTCTTGCAACTACAGTAAGAGGTGAAGTAAACGGCAGGATGTCTGGCAGTGAAATATCCTGTCGTGATGTGAAGCAGGTAGGCTTGAATCACTGGGTTCAGGCCCCTGCAAGACACTGGCACAATCCTCTAATGGGCAAGTGTGACTTAATGTAGAGGACTAGGTTCAGTCCTTGAACAGGGACATTCTTCTGCTGAGGCTTTGGCCTCGGAGCGCCTTAAACACCGTACTCAGACTCTGAGCAAACTGCCCAGCCTGCATCAGGTACGTTGGCTGCCCGCCACAACAAATACTAGGCTCTAATTATCCTATAAATCAGCAGTTGTCGTATATTTTCTTGCAGCCTGCCATTGTGTGTACAGTGCTGACACAATGAAAGCCAGACCCCTCTGACATGAGCCTGCAGGGGGAGGAGAAGGGAGGATGAGGGTATGTGAGTTTATGGGAATGAAAGATGGGTTTAGTCAGGTGAGGCCAAAATGATGCTTGGCCTTGACCGTGTTGGTCTTTCAGCGAAAACAGAACATACGTAATAAAGGACTGACAGCAGACTGAAACACATCTAAATTTAATCCACATCAACAGGTTGTGCCACGGCCTTGCCGCTGTGCCTTTCAATAAAACCTTTGAAGTCCTTGAATTAACTCCAAAACTATCCAGTCACAGCATATTTATGTGTTTACTTATAGTCTGGGCTATTGTTTTTTTTCTCCCTATCTTTGCAAACGGGTGTTTGCCTTGTCGTCTCTGAAAGATTCATCTGATTATCAAAGGTTGAAAAAGGAGGACAGGCTTTTCCCCAGCGATGAATTTCCCCCGCCTTCCCCATATTTTACCCGCAAGTCCAAGTGCCTTACAAGTTATGCCGTAATGCTGCAATTATCCACAAATCTACAGCTAATCAAGCATGTTGTGGTCATTATTAATTTTTACGAGTTGATGGGAAATGTTCTCAGCCTGAAAAGCCGAGGTAGATGTTTTTTTCCTCCTTTGTTTCCTGTTTGCCAGTATACTGTTAAATGCTCCAAATGGCCAATGAATCTGGTGCTCAGACAAGCGCTTGATTACACATTCTTTTTGTGATACTTATGAAAAGGAGTGGTGTTCCCTGTGGATTTAACAAAGACGGAGGATATATGGGGATATTTAGGGATAATCAATATGTAACAAAACTTGACCCACCCTTTTTCCAGTTATCTTTCTTAATTCGTCTGCCTTTCTTTCCCTCATCTCTCTATGCCAGATGTGGATGAATGCAGTAAAGACAACGTGTGCGTCCGAGGCGAGTGTCTCAACACCGATGGCTCTTTCTTGTGCCTGTGTGAAGCTGGCTTCAAGTTCAACGCTGACACAGCTGACTGTGAAGGTAAGACAGGATAAGGCCCCAAAATATTTGTGAAAT